GGGTGCAAAGAAATTCAGTGCACTCTTTCGACAATGGGGGAACTATTGTTATTGAATTGGCGCAGATTTGTTCTAATTTTAGGGAAACGCTTATCAAGAGGTAGAAGAGCGGTGGGGTGGAAGCACTCCTACAACCGGGGAAGAGCGCATACTTTTAGTTTTTATCTGTTTTCTTGAAAATGTTCAAAAAGAAGCAGCATATTTTCCTGGAGAAGGAGGGGATAGGGCATTTGAAAACATGATACAATAAAAATGTGTTACATAAAAACCAAATGTGTTTAAAGGGATTGGAATTTGTATGCAGTATAAGACATCAAGACGATTAGAGAAACTAAGTTTGAGTATCCAGGTGTTCCTTCAATGGCACACCTAGCTATCGATTAGGTAGTAATCTACGATGAGATATTTTTGAAGACCACCCATTGCATGAGCTACTATGTATACTGTACTCTATTTCGGAAGACGAGAAGAAAATCGAGTGCAGACCACACATATAAAGACGACGGCCAAGAAAAAAGCGGCTTTTTTCCTTGGCCGTCGTCTCTTATGGTGTGTGGTCTGCACTCGATTTTCTTCTCGTCTTCCGAAATCGAGGGTACGAATCCAGCAAATTTAGGGTGCATGTAGGAAGTGTCGCCCGTCTCTTAATACCGCTGGCAAGCTTCAGTCCATTTGCTGTCTGTAAAGTGTCCATGAGAAATATCAGAGCGAACTTCAATGAACACAATAACAACTGAACTTATGAGGGAGCAAATGAGGGGGAGCAGTGTAGCGAAGGAAACAGCGGGTGTATTCTAAACATAATGGTTTTTCCACTAGGTCGCTGTTGCGAGGCTGTGTCGTTGTGCCAGCGATATCACATTCGCTCACGGCTGTTAGAGGCGTTGTTGTGGTTTCCAAGTCGCCTGCTGGCTTGTACTCCGATTTTCATCGGCCTCTGCAGCCGCATCCAGCGCTCTGACTGGAATTACTTTGGAAGGAAAATTTAGCGGGATGCTCCCACGTGGACTTTACTGAATTATGACCCTATAAGGAAGCGCTAGAACGACATTGCATCCCACTGATCAATCAGTTTCTAGTGCTTTTTTTAAGTGAACAAATTCATTCGCTCTCCATGAAGTTTCAAGAAGAATTTTGTGGAACTTGGTAGCGAATGGGTTGATCCTTCGCGTGGTATAGAATGGAATAAGGAGGATTCCACGACAAAAACGAAGGCCGAAAAAGGGAAAACCTAGTTGGTGGAGATACAGGCGGACCTCCTTATGATTCAGTCGATCCAGATCAAAGGTATGTCCCATAGTAGTGGCCAATGTGCGTCCGCCCTCTCACCTTTGCCGTCTCGTGTCCCTAACTGTTGAAGAGGAGCGCGTCTACCGTTGAAGAGGCGTACTGATGAGAGTCGTATCAATTGCCAAACAAAAGGCAGGAAAGGTCTCGCCCCTTCTCAGCTCCTGTTAGGCTCTTACGTTCTCGGTTTTTCTGCCTTCCGTGCATCACTGACCAATTCTCTAGTTAAATGTAGCAATGGCTTACAATTGGCGCCTTTATCGTAAAATCTGCCTTCAGCACATGAATCTTGGGTGTCTATCTGGAGCACCAGATAACAATATCAGTTTCAGCTTTACCGTCAAGCTCATCGTCCTCACAGTTGCAAGTGAGTAGTGTGAAGAATCCGGTGAAACGAGAATCGCCACAGTTAAAAGTGGAAAACATCGCAAGAGCTGGGTGAGTTCACGAATACCTTGCATAAACTCTTGGGCATCTGTTGATGATACGTTTTTTCAAAAGAAATGTAATGATTGCTTTGAAATGAGCATGACTAGGGGCACTGTATCGCACTCTGAAGCCCACATCAAGCCCAGGCTAGCGTTATCAAAGTTTCTGACATAAAATATTCTGGACCGCGGAGTTTTTTATTAGCAGGTTACATGTGGTAATCAAAGCCGAAATGACTTTGCATGAGATTTATTCGACTGCCGAATGTCATTTTAACATGTACAAGTTCGGAACTATGAAGCTCGTTCTCTCATTATGGGTTACTGAAAAAAACTTCACCTGAACCCGGTGCATTTTCAACTGCAGTGATTGATAGTTTCTTGAAGTTCTGTTTGAACAGTGAAAATCCTGATACTTCCGTTAAATTCCTAAAAATTTCCCACAAATCTTAAAACACCTTTTTTGTTTACGACTGTTCAGGAAACTAATACTATACCAAGCTCAAGCCTTTCTCTAGGTATTGCCCAGTGGGCACTCAAATTGGGACTGCAATTTGATGGTCGATAGTATGCAAGGCTAAATTTTAAGCCTCGAGATGCTTGAAACGGTAATGGAGCTTATAAAACTTTTCTGACAGCGGTCCTGACACGTTTTTTGCGAGTACCTCTGCGAAAATCTTCCATCCATCTGCAGGACCAAGAAGGCTGCTGTTTTTCTCATCGCCACAATTAGAGTAGAAAAAAGCAAAAAAGAAATAAAGCTAGAAAAACGGTGAAAGGAAAATGAGAAAAAACTGAACACCTGCTCCTTTCAGCACACCAAAACCATTGGCTCCGCCCACGTCTATATCGGAATGGCAACTATTGGCGGTCTTGCAACGAGCCAATCTTGTACAGTACTACGATATGTTTATATCGCAAGGTGAGAAAGCGCCATCAATTTTGAACAAAAATTGATCAAATGAGTGAAAATGAGCTATGCATCTGAATGTCAATATGGAAAGCCTGAATGGCTGACATCTCAGCTGTAACTGGTTTCCCCTTGAGAAGAACTATTTCATATGAAAGATGTGAATGCAGGGAGAGCGGAAGTGGGTACGTACTTGTCTGCACCAAGAAAGAAGGATAAGGATAAAGATAAAGCATTTGCCGTTGATCAATCCCGTTTTGGGATGCGGCACGCATTCTACTTCCATTTGTACATTCGCAGTGGCATTTGAATGCGATGTGGCCTATACAATGACTTGCGGGGGCCAGCCGATGTTCAAGTCAGTGTTTTTTATCCTCCCAGACAAGTCTGGTACCAATTAACCGACCCCGGAGGGATGGAAGGCTTGGTTGGCCCGGGCGACTCACGACCCAGGATTTGATCCCGGACCGCTCGCGTGGTGTGAGGTTATTTATGGGTCAATTGTATTCGAACTGACGCTGGTCCTGAATAGAGGCTGAGGGCATGGCGTATTCCAAGAATTGATTGATCAACGCCGGATGCGTTATCCTTTATCCTTCAATTGGAATACAGATGGTAAGGGCCATAATGATGAAGCTGAGCAACGTTGGTGAGAAAACCAGAAGTGCACTCTACGATGAATTCACATGGACCAATCCTTTTGGTGGGCAGATTAGAGCTGTCCACCAAAATTTTCCGAAAAATTTGTCCAGATTTTTTCCCTTTTGCAATCAACCAGTGTAGCGAAGTGTCTGCGCCCTCTCCTCCGTTATGCTCTCTCTCCTATTCTTTCTACTCTGCGCCAAAGATCTCTCCGTTGATCATAGCTCACCTTACATAAAAAGAAGAAGTCATCAATTTCTGTGTATTGGCGGATTCTTTTCTTTGTGTAATTTGCGGTTTTCTTTGCACCTCTACATTTATTTTCCTGCAGAACAATAACACCGGTTCAATCGTGGGGTGTGTCTGCAAGGGAATGGAAATTCGGAAGTCAGAGTTTTTCTCGAACAAATCCTTAAAATTTCACGTGATCTTTCCATTGTGAAGTTTGTTGCTTGCTTTGTTTCAGTTTCGAAACAAAGCAATAACATATTAGTGAAAAACGGATCACCCTCTGCCGTGAGCATATTTCCATCTTCGTGGGTTGATGCAGGTTTCGGATATCATAAGGGGTGTCAACTGTAAGGGAGGAGGCAGGGATAGCCGAGTGGTTAAGAGGTTAGACTCATGTCTGCACCTCCGAAAAACCGCGAGTTCGATCCCTGCCGAGGCTAAAACCATGCCTTGCAAAAATTGCAAAAATGGTTCTAGTACCAGCGTCAGGCCCAGGTTGACAGGCCGGCTGATGAATACCCCAGTCACACCAACCATGTCTAAAAGTTGCCAAAGAATCAGTGATAAAGTTAGGACTTCTTTGGAGCTTGAGATTTGACGTGATACCCAGTGTGATAGCATCATAGTGTGACAGTGTGATCCATGTATCGTGCGGCGAGTGAAAAGTCAAGCGGCCCTTGCCACCAGGTCAATCCTACGTTGTTACTTGTTAGTTAACAAGGGGGGGGGGTCGTACCTGATTGAGTTTATAGGAAGGGGGGGGGGTTCGTATCCGCTCTCCTTGCGTGAAATTACATGTGAGTTGTGGTGAAAGTGGAGTTTTCACGAGTAGTAGGCTAAGTGAGTTGGGAGCGCATGGGAGAAAAATTAACAGCCGCTCTTTCAGCGGTGCGTATACTCCGCTCCCACCCCTATCCCCCCCCCCACCCCGCTCGACGGCATTTTTGGAGGAAAAAGTGGACGGAGTTTGGTGGGTTGAGTGATATCTAGAATTAAGTACTATTATGAGAGATGATGGTGGTCGAGGTGTGGAAAAGGGGTCGTACCAAGTCCACCTTGGGAGGAGGGGGATCGCAAAAATTTCTGAAAAAGTAAGAACGATAGGACTGATCCTGCTTGCCACTACGTCACCTCCGCCAAAATCCGTGGAAGGAAAAGGGTAGAAGAGTATGGAACGCGTACGACTCCTCCAGTTTACAGGTGAAATGTTTCTTGCCACACGCTTTCGACCCGTCCTCCGTCGTTTTCTCTATGCCATGAATGACCAACATTTTCCAAACCTTGGAACCACTATGAGGCGAGACGATAAAAACATTTGCAAACCAAGATGAGATGAACTTGGAATCAAATACCCAAGCCTTGCACCTTTCCAGTGATCAAACCTAGAAATCGATGCGTAGACATCTCTCTCACAACTGGACTCCCGTATGAAGGTTGCGAAGTGTCTAAAAAGATAAGTCACCATACGCAAATCTCCACTTGAATGTTTTTGTTTAGGAGGTATGATATTATCAGATTATATGCAATGTGACGAAGGAGAATTCTTCGAGATCAAAGTCTCGCCGTGGGATGCTTTCGACCCGTCTGTCATTACACGTTTACAACGAGCCTAACAGTAAGTAAAACATGCCCCACGGCACGCTTTCCTTACAACACAAATGACAGTTAGTCTCTTCATTTTTCTACATAATATATTGTGGTTTTTGCTAAAAACTCATAAGATACTTATGTCAATAGGCTCTCAAAAACATTTTAGTTGGGGTTGGATGAGTAAAATACTTCTTTAGGTGTGAAGGGTGGGCAGCTCCACGTGCAGAAATTCTAGATCTTACCGGTAGAACAGGAACGAAGAACAAACATGTGGAAAGGGTAGTGTTGCCTGCGATCAGTTAGAATGCCATACGTATTCCGAAGGGAAACTTTACGGTCGAAGAATTTCAGGGTATATTCTTACGTATTTCCTTTGCATACTCCAGTTTCACAGAGTTCACTTTAAACACATTGACGACAACGCGAGTTTTGGCTTTTTTGGTCACGGTGGGACCGCGGCGATTTTGCAGGCGCGCTCGCTTCAGGTCGTTCAAGCAGATTTTGAGTGATAAACCCACAACTAATCTCTCAATTCGGAACCAAATCAATAAGTTTAAATCTACCCAGGGTATACAGTAGTGGAATTTCCATCGAATGACATGAAATGACAATGAAAAAGCGAAATTGGTCAGAACTAGCTGCAATGGACCTCGAAAGCAATTTTACGTTGATTATTTAAGTCAAAACACACATATTGTCATCCCTAAGGTTCCTTTTCTACTTCTAATACTACTTAAATCTACACATTAATAAAACGGAAAAGTTAAAGAAAAATTTATTGAAATGAAGATTTCGTATAGTTCAGAAATCCTCTCTACCAAATTAAAGTATACGTGACCATTTCCACGGGCCACTATGTTTGTAGCGAAGTCAAGGTCTCTTCCATAGAATGAATGAAAGAAACTTCTAAAAGAATCAGGCGTGCGCGAAAAAAATGAGTGTAATGGGTGCGGGGGATATATATCCCGCACGGTCCGACATGGCCTGCAATGGCGGGATATACATCATATCGCGCCCGCCGTTTGGCTCAATTGTTGTTAATCCCTGGCAAAACTGTAACTTAAATTTCGGAGTTTGGCTGCCCTCTGCTCAAGACCTCTATACTGGGGTAAAGCAACGACTAGTGTCTGGGGTGTGATGCAAGTTCCAGATTGAGTGGCAGTGGAAGTCGAGGGATCGCTGACAACAGGGCGGGAGGTTGTACGTGGCTAAACAAACATCCGCCGACATACCCCTGGATGGAGAGTTCTCAAACTGCGCCGGAGAGATTCCACACCCGACCCCGCACAGCACTGCACCCAAAAATGAGACGTTTGCGATGCCTTGACTCCTCTCATCTCCTACTGCCTTCTCTGATTTTTCCTCCCTTCCTGGTCTCCGTCTTGCACAGCATTTAGCGTAACAGAATAAACACTCATTTAGATTTCCTATCTTCAACATTTTTCTTTCCAAACCGGTTTCTTTTGCTTATTTTCCTCTTCATAACGCGGTCTTTCGCACGCTCGATTTCACATTTAGGTTCGCTTACAGTGTCCACCATGTGACTTCGAGATTCTACGCGGCCAAAATTTAAAACATTTAATTTCTGTAAAACAGATAAACTTAGTGATAGGTCACCCCTCAATGCAAGTTCTTTTCTGAATCATCAATTTTGCTCCTTTTCGGAGCAATACATTAAATTTTGAAGCTTCTAGCGATAGGTCATTCTCGAATTTTCGGTCATTCCATTGTTGATAATTGAAAAGGACAGATGTGCTAACTAGAGCAACACCAAATTTCACACACGAACATTCAGTTTCCGAAGAGAAACAAACTTACAAAAACACTGTGGACAGTCGATGGTAGGTCGCGCGGCGTCAAAGGCGGGACACGAAAAGAAGTACGCTTGCGGCGGCCACGTATTACCGGTTGACCAGGGTAAAGCGATTTTGGAGAATGGAGACAGAACATCGATAGAATAGGATGCAGTAGAAGTGTGAGATGTTAATGCAATAAGTCAAAAGGTCAAAAGAGTTCTAGTGACGGCACTCCGTGAACCAAGTGGAAGCATTCCCGCCGCCAGCATTTGTGACAGATGTGTGGCGGGAATTTGAACGCATAACAGTTTGTCCGATTTTTCGGAATCTTGAACTCGCACGGACCGTCGTGGAATTTGGAAAATCGAATTACCAAAACAAACGCATCTTTTGTTCTTAGTGAACGTTGGGTCTCAAGCGAGGGATTTGTAGGTGTGGTAGAACCACGATTTTTCCGGAAAGGATTCCTTTAATAAGAGTTCGGGAATGCTTTCTCTGTTATTTGGTCATTCTCATTACAATACGCAATTGTCTCTCTGTCTCTGTTCTCTTAAACTATCAAAAAAATTAGATTTTAGAACTTAGAAGTTTTTAGGGGGATAATCAAAGATTAGTTCGACTTCCGTTTCGCACGTGCCCTTAGACGGAAGCCAAACTGGAAGAAATACCCTCCCTCCGTGCTCTTCAGTAAGGAAGGGAGGAAAAAGCGTTGAATGAGCATAATTTATATAATTGGCAATAAACTATTAGAGAAATGTGAAATTAAAAATTGAAATAAATTAAAAATTTGATCCAAAGATTGATTACATTAAGGAAAGTCCGGCAATGGCTGTTATACCTGAGCAGTAGCGGTCAATTATCAGCTATTTATTTTTTGCAGGAGTTCTCCAAAGATCAAACTACATTCAATTTGGCCGCTATTCAACATATTGGTCCACCACCTGTATCACCGTACGCATTGGGCGGTCCCGATATGTCTTTCCTTATGCCTGGTAAGATTTGATACTTCCTAGTGCGTCATAGAGCTTGAAACGACTTCAAAATTTGCTAATATATTTAAAAGCCCGCTCCAAAAGAGAACCATTTTTCTTAACCTCGTGTATCCTAGAGCAAGTCGCCGACACCATCCGATTCTCCAACGACTGATGGGTTTAGTCCTTAGCTTCTTCCACTTAAATCACTCCAGCTACAGCCTCAGGATTTCGAATTTGAATAAGTTCGTCTAGGTGCAAATTCTACCTCGTCGCACGGTTTCGTCCACTTTTCAAATAAATTTTTAGCATCCCAAATAAACGATCCTCCCGACCCCTTCGAAAAACTATGAGCCCCTTCTGGACACATATCTCAAATAATACAATCTCAAGCTTAGCACAATTACGGTTGACCTCGTGATTCCTGCTACTACTTATTTTTGCCGCACAATCTATTGCAGCTGCACTTTGCTAATTTCTCTATGAAATTATATTTCTAAAATTATAAAATCTTATTTCAGGGTTCGCAACGACCCTGACTAGTCTGTCGTCCGCGTCCCCGGGCTTAGCGTCGACGTCCAACGAGACGACATCGCCGCAAAGATGAAACAGCCATCACACAACTCGGGTACCCGTTGGGTTAGTCTTTTGGGGCGATCCCTTGTGGGACGGTTTTTCTTTGCGCTTTCTCTTGAAACACATATTATACTTAGTAATCCATTACTGAAACGACACGCCTCACCCAGCCTTCGTCAGCTATTGAAACCAGTTTATGCGTTTCAGGCTGTAGAACAGAAGCCTTCTTCAAAGCATTTTCCACACCTAACGGTTCACAGCGCTTAAACGTATAACTGAATGTGGCCTTTAATTTGACAGCAGTGGGGAGAGCAAAAAATGAGCAAAAAAAACTTTAAGACAAGGCTTCCTGGAAATGAAGAATCCGAAATTTGAAGAAGCCAGCAGTTTCTCTGTCAGTGTAACTTTTACTTACAAGATTATGTTTTTTCTATCTTACCGATCTTTATCTCGACAAACGTCAGGTTCACTTTTTCTGCATGCGCGAATCACTTTCACAGATGACGATTCCCCGGGCTATACACTATGACCACACAGCGGAATGAATGGACGGTCTTTTTTTTCAAGTAGGGCGTTATATTATGAGTATCAGTATCTGCTTGACCTTTCATTAACAAGGACGGAATGCTCCCAAACTCCTTTTTTAGTCTCTCTCTCCCCTATGTACAGTACATCTTGCGTACCAGCCAATAGATCGACAACCGATATGTTTGGACTTCCTCTGGAAAAATGTCAACACTCATGTTCATTGGTGCGCGTGGCGCATGCCTTGAAAAAATCAATACCATTTTCATTCTTTGGGCTTGATGGCATCTGTACTGTTGAGAAAATTTCATCTTTCTGCGATCCCCTGACCGAGGGAAGCGGAGGGCCCATACCGACAGATTGACCAACCAATCCACACTCTCTGCTTCCGAAAGCGGATAGTTGTTAAATGATAGTCGTGACAACTGATAGAGTACAATTGCAGCCGGGTAATGGCAAACAATGCTATTTTGCAGATTTCCCTGGGACGGTAGTAAAGTCCCCTAAATAGCCAGTCTATAGCTGGCCAATAGGTCACGTTGATCTCGCCTTCGTCGGCACTCAAAAAGCATGGGGAAAGGGCGGAAATTCACGCTGACCTCCCGCAGAGGGCGAGGTCTATACCACATGTTAAGTGGCGAACGTATTAGGTGGCACCTAGCCTAGGCGGCGAACCCGGCAGAGAAAGGGGAAAGTGCGTGGAGATTGCAGAGACGCAGAGGGTCATGTAGAGGGCGACTAAAATGTACCCCTGAGTACATTTTAGTCGCCGCCTATCTGCGTCTCTTCAATCCCCATGCACTTCCCCCTTTCTCTGCACGTCATGCATTGGTCGCATTGAGCGTCTCTCCGTCCCTGCCATGCGCAGAGCGCAGGGAAGAAAGGGGTACGTGGAAGGTGTTGAGTGGAGGCAGCAAGAAAGCCACTGGAGCTATCGATAATATTGATAACTTTCTGCCAATAAGGTGATCAGCTGTCCCCCGCAGTGTTCCACTTATTGATCGTGTTATAGCTCCTTCCTTGGTCCCGGGAGCATTTCACTACTGTACAATCATCTAGGCCATGATCCTAGGTTACAAACACGTCGATTGGCGCAGTGGGTTCGTTCCTTGTTGACATTGGATCGCTCGCGGGATCAGTTCTCCATGATACTGGATGTTTTGCAACCCTCATAGGATCCTACCTTGCTTTCTACAATTCTTTCGAAGTAACACAGCAATGCTTTGTGGTGCAGTGGCAAACGTCGCGCTCATGGGCGCTGCACTACATGGTTCAAGTCCATGGCGACGCGACTTTTGCTAGGAATGTAGTGAAGCTCGCCATTCAGAGCGGGGTCATCTGGCTGTCTCGCCTTTCATTATTCACCGCTTACGGCCGTAGTTCACCACCTTTAACTCCCAGTCTATGGCACTTTACTACCGTCCCTGAAAATCTCAAGTTTTGGAGGCTGTCGTAACTTGTGGCGTGTGGTCTCAGGTTTTCGGAAGCAGGGGGGGGGGGTAGTGAAAAAGTGACCAATCTACATAATAATGAACTGATGATACCTATCAACCAAAAAGTGATGGGATGACCCATGAAGCGAAATAGGGCTGGTCAGAGACCGGAAGAGATTAGTCCCTAGGTTAGACCTTAGAGACCAAGCGGTTTGCAACTAACAAATTGACAAAACGATTCCCCCAAAAGAGAGGCGGCTACATGGTTGTTCTAAGCCGAGGGTTTCATAGCTGACGTAAGAAATAAGTTTTTTTTCAACAAACAAGGGTGTAAAGGCATGCACGCGTAAGCGTTGACATGCCGTTGAACTCGACACAGTTCAGCGATCGAACTCTCCGCTGCTGTGCTCGGTACTATGGCCACTTCTGTCACAATCAGCGGGGCCGGCAGTTGCACCAACGACTTCGGCCCCAGCGCTACCGTCGCAGGAGGAACCGCCAACGTGGTTCGCGGCGAACTTCTGCCGGCCTTCGGACAGGGATCGATTGCCGGCGAAGAGAAAGAGAGGTGAGATTACTTTTTATACTGCTTTTGTAATCGTCGGAGAGGAACTTCCTTTCTCTCCCCTCTTGGCGCACCTTACAGCAATATTCTTGGTAGTTTCAGGTCGGCCAGCCCTCTTTCAGTAGGTGGTGACTTTGTATCTTTGGGAGACTACGATCCAAGTGAGTTGGTTCTGTCCATGGAGAGTTTGAAATGTGCAACGAATAAGGGCAATGTCAAATTTCAGGTACTGCTCTATGCGACTCGCCAGTGTTGTCCGATGCACAGATTCGTCGCCTTTCGAGTTGTGCGATGGCCATTTGCCAAAAAATACCACGACTGCCGCCAAAACTCGTCCAGAACAAGAAGCGAGTCTCAAAGTAAGTTTCTCTCTGAAGAAAGGTGAACCTGTTGGTGGCTAAGGCATGCAACAACTGCGCCTTTTTCCACCGCACTGCACAATCCTCGTTGCAATCAATTTACAAACAGGGTCAACCGTCCGTTGGACAAAGTCCAACGAGGGGGGGGGTCGTATTTGGGGGTGGAAAAGAGGGGGTCGTATTTCGCGAGGTAGCGTCAATGTTACAGTAAGGGAAGGGATGATTTTTTATGGAACGGAGAGCGGATTAGGTTGTAGGCTGGGATTTTGGGTTGAGTGTGAGTGTGAAAATTTTGCCGTTTCATATTCGATACCCCCCCCGCTCGACGGATGGCAATTTTGGAAGGAAAAGTGGGCGGAGTTTGGAATTTTTTTTTTTTTTTTTTTTTTTTTTTTTTTTTTTTTTGTCGTGTGGTCAAGTATCTATATGTAGAATCGCCCCACGATGGCGCATGGCAGGCAGGGTGGTGGCGGAGGCTGTTGAGGGTTAAACCTGGGGGGGGGTTGAATCGAAGCCCCCTAGAAAGCTGGGGGTCGTAAAATTTCGAAATTGGTCCAATGTGACGGTTGACCCTGTTTACAAATGTTGGGCAAAGTCTTTCTGAGTTTTTGAGATTTAGGGAAGTGCTTGATCTCCTTTCTACAGCTCCCGATTCACCCAATCGACTCGCTGAATATCGAAAGTATTCGGCTATTTATGGCCGATTTGATGCTAAACGAAAACCAGACAAGGTAAATTTTCCACGGTTTACTCTTTCTGTTAGATGCATCTTGCAAAATCGTTCAATTAGAGGCGACCAGCCCTTCATGGAGAATGTGTATCTGGACTTCTCGTATTTTGCTTTTGAGGAAGCGTTTTCGCACCGCGATTTATTTTTTCAGCAATAGTTTGGATAGATCTAATAAAGCACTGGCCAAACCTAGCTATTGCTCTTTACTAGCGACAAACACATCGTTGATGTTGTGCGCCCGCTCTAAGGCCACAGATATTCACTACTCGACACTCCTTTTGTGATCCCATGGAAACTCTACTCTCTTCTTTATCTATCATCCACTTCTTCCGATCTCGCCCGTCATTCCATCAAAGCGACAAGTCCTAAATCTCGACGGTGCTCTCCAAGCTTTCGATCTGGTGTCAGACCTTGCGTATCCAGCTCCGTATCTACGCGCACTCAATAGCGAATCGTCGGATTCGCCAAAGTCTGATACCGCCCTTACGCGAGCGATTTTTGAATGCGATGTAGTTCGCGTTGACAGCGTTGTTTTTTGAGATACACTTCCTCGTGATCGTACGAGAATAGTTGCATTGTTTGAACCAGATCACATTATTGAGGAGTGAGGTTCTCGATTTTTGCCCATACTTCAGGTGTTTTAAAGATTAATTGCGTATGCGAGCCATATGGAAATATTTTTATTGGGTTGTCCAGAAAATCCTGCGACACTTTGAACAAAGTTCTTTAGGAGAAAAAAAACTCTTTCCAGTAGTTTTGGTATTTGATTGCTGCAGTGTATCTTCGGAGGTTTCGGCAGAAGCGTAAATGGAGGCTTCGTGCAGCGTTTAACTGCTTCAAACTTCTCTCTGAATCAACCCATCTTTTGACCTATTTTATTTTCGAGCTCCTGTAAAGCCACTCCGTTTGTGTCGTTGCAGCTAGCATCTGTGCTGTATTCAGGAGGGATGTCATTCACTAGGCCATGGTGTCCCGTTGGCCCTATTGCCTCGCAACTGGAGATATTTTGTTCGAAATGAGGCACGGAGCTGGACGGCAGTAGATGATGACTGACGAGCGTTTACTCAACTTCCTAGAGGCGCAGCCGATTGCTACCAGTCGTAGGTTAACAACAACGCTTAGATGCATTCATTCGACAATTATCGAGGATCTGCACGATCTCGGTTACAGATCAGTATGTTCGCCATTGACACCACATGGGTTGCGCCAGTCTGGGGAGGCGAACAGGGTCAACCGTCCGTTGGACAAAGTCCAACGCATGGCTCTCTAGCGTGTGAGAGTAATGCCGAGAGTGAACGTACGCACGGAGACACAGACGGCTCGCGCAAGGCGAGTGTGAATGCCGGCGCGGAGAGCGGTCAACGTCGGTCCAACGTCGGTCCAATATCGGTCCAACGTAACGGTTGACCCTGCGTCTGGCCATGATTTAGATTTCTCTCTCTTCTTTCGCATCAAAGGAATCTCTTCACAAAAATGATGGCTAATGAAGATAGCTCTGGCCTTGACTAAACTATACACACATAAGCGCTACTGGATTCGACAAGGAGGAAAGCTGCCCGCAGGAAACAAAAGCAGGCCTTCGTCAAGAAGGACTTTTTAGTGTTTCTGATGAGGTTGCAAACTGATTCGCTACAGAAAGCTGCTGGATACCGGCGCCTGCACCAGGGGATCGACCAATGTCGGCTTTAGCACCCTAAAATATTTTCTAGCCATGCTATCCATCCTCCACCACCGAACATTTTGAATATGGTGTCACCCGACCGCGCATATCTGTATGTGCGCCAAGATTGCATATCAAGAGATCGTGGATTTTGACCGGGAAATTTTGCAGGCTTGGCCTAATAACCCGACTTAGTCGTTTCTCAATATTAAGTAATGAAGCGCTACCTAAAAGAGAAAAAATCCAATGATTGAGGTCACCTCGAAAATTGGATGAAGCGCTTCTTTTCAAAGCAAACGCCGGATTTCTCAAAGTAGAGAGTTGAGAAGTTTCCCAGAGAAAAAGGGCACGACTCCCACATACTACCGGTGATAACCTTGCTGATTGTCCCATTCAACAAAAGAGGGTACAACCAAAAATCTTGAACAAGGTGTCGCAGGGTGTTCTGAACAACCCAATGACGAGCCGGGTATCAGGCACATTATAATGCACTCACGTTCAATCAGGATCCTTAGCGTTTTAGGGCTTATCTTTCCATGAGGTGTCTGTGAATGAAGCCGCTGCTCAACTTTGTGTCATCATCATGCCTTTCTTTGCTTACGAGAAGGGACGAGCTGTTCCCTTTGGCTAGGCAGGTATGTTCCACTTTTAATAGTTACGAGTCTATAAATGTCGTTGGACGCGTAGTTTGGGTATGCAGTAGTGACCCGTTCACT